CCCATCATCTTTTATAACCCCCCATTTTGTATTGGAAGACTTCTTTTTACCCAGCCCCACCTCCTTTGCCCACCCCCTCCACACTTCTCTTCCCCCTACCTGTTCTTCTGCAGGTACAAGTGCTCTGATCCTTGATCACAGGGGTAGGTATTGCTGGAGGACTCTGCCTACTTTGAAGCAGGTGCGCTGTTGAGTTGCATAGGCTTGGTAGCAGACACCATCTCTTTCTGTTTGCAGGCAAACCGGCAAAGGAGCCGGAACATGCGCTTTTTGAAAGAGATTTTTGCCACCGTGAACTGCATCCTCACCCCAGGTAACTTCCATGGAATAAAGTTTATACTTGGACCATGTGCTGTGATCATACACACACGTGTGTGGTGTGCAGGTGCTTGGCTTTTTAAGAATGACAATTCATCTTGTCATTTGCGAGAGTTCTTACTTCACAGAACTGCATAACCTTCCCCACACTGAGCTTTCCCTTCCTCTGGAGAAGGTGACCCTTTAAACTGTTGCTGTATATGCCACCAGTCTGCTCACTGTAGACATTGCTGCACATTTTGCCAGCTAAATTTGGAATGACTGCCATGCTTCCTAAAGAGAAGGGAGCCAGCATCTGCGCTGTTGTGTGTCATCATATTTATCTGTCAGCTGGAAAACCCTTTCTAGGGGTGATGCACAAGTTGGGGTCTTGAAGCCCTCAGCAGGAGCTTGTTGCACCTGCAGTTTGGTGGGAACCTGAGCTGTGCAGGAAGGTGGGACTGTTTTGTGGAGCTCACTAACTGCCTGTTCCTCTCTACAGCCACGGCCTGCACTGCCCCTAAAATCCATGCAACTGACCTTGAGACTGGGAACAGTGATATTCTAACAACTATCCGGACCATGAGGTAGGAACTGACCAAGGTCTGTCAGGGAAGTTCACTATCCTAATCTCTCCCAGCTCCAGCAATTAAAAGGAATGGTTCAGGAGTAAGATGTGTGGGAGTGCAGTGCTCCTGGCCCCTGCTCCTGAAACTGAACAGGGTTTGCAACAGCAGGAGGCATGCTGGTGACTTTCTCTACCTTCTTGCAGGTACATGCAGCTGGCCAACTTCACAGGTATTCCAGGCCTGGTAGTTCCAGTCGGGTACACGGCTGCTGGGCTTCCCATCAACTTCCAGGTAAGCACTGCCTCCCCTGTAAATGCTGGGGGCTGGCCTGACCAGACGCTGTTCTGCATGGATTGGGCATCTCTTGTGTGGGTGGCTGTGTACACATCCAAAGGACCATGGAATCCAGTGCTAGGAAATTTTTAAGCTTCCAATCTCCTTAGTAGACCCACTACTATGTAGAACTGCAGATCCTGGCTCATAGGAATAGCTTTGGCTTGGACGTGAGCAGGAACCTGTAGACTCCTTCTCTATTCCCAAAGTGCACCTTAGACGGTCTTCTCTGCCTCCCTGTTCCCCTTGCTTCCGTTTCTCAGTCTCTTCATCTGCTGGTTCCTCTCCCTCTTTCTGTCCACATATGCGTATAAGGGAGGGAGGGAGGCTGCTGGCATTGGCTTGGCAGAAGCCAGGAAGCAAGGCACTCTCATTTGACCCTACTTCTCTTCCACGTAGCCTTGGTCTTCCAGGGCCTGCACACTATAATTTGTTGACTAACCTGCCAGCGAACATCACATCCC